TGTTGTGTGTTGTGTGTGTGTGTGTGTGTGCTCACGTTACGCACACTGCACACACACACACACACACACACACACATACACATTACACACTGAGGTTCAATTGCAGGTTTCGTGTAATGCAGCAAACACCGACACACACTCTCGTCAAAGTAACACATCTTGCACAAGCAGAAGAACCAATTCAACCATCCATCCTTACACACACAACACGTAATACGAGCACTACACACAACTTCCCTTTCCCCCTCTTCCTGTCATCCCCTCCACGATCAGTTTGCCTCCTGGCTCCGCGCGTGCTCCTGTGCAATTCTCTTGGCCAGCACCGCCGCCGCCGCCCTGGACGCCGTGGGCCGCCCCAGCATCGAGTTGATGAACATGCCCGCGTCAACAAGCTTGTCCATATCCACGCCCGTGTGCACCCCCATGCCATTGAGCATGTACACGACGTCCTCGGTGGACACATTTCCGGTGGCGCCGCGTGCATAGGGGCACCCGCCCAGCCCGCTCACCTGCCGTGGCGGTGGTGGTGGTGGTGGCAGTGGTGGTGGTGGTGGATCATGACAGCGTGTGAGTGGTCGTGTGGCAAACGGGCGTTGAGAATAAACCGCAATCAATCACCCCTCCATTGGTCCTTCTTCTCTTCTTGCTCTTCTCTATTTCCACCTGTACTGTCGCCACCATCTTCTCTGTTCCCCTCCAATCCACCACCCCCTCCATCCCCTCCATAACCTTCCGCTCCCCTCCCACTGTCTACTCTCCACTCTCTACTCTACCACCACCACCACCACCAACACCACCACATGATGATGACTGACCGAAGAGTCAACGACGGCGACACCGAGCTGGAGCGATGCCAGGATATTGGAGAGCGCCTGTCCATATGTGTCGTGGCAGTGCACGGCAACGGACGCCGCGTCCACCTCCTGCAGCACCGCGTCAAGCATGCGCACCATCGACCCAGGGGTACCCGCGCCTGAGGCGTGATGGTGATGGTGATGGTGATGGTGATGGTGGTGGTGATGGTGATGGTGAAGGTGAGGGGTGCAGGGGTAGTGATAACCGTAGAGGGTGAGATAGCTCACTTACATGTACACGGAAACGAAGCAGCAAGTCGCACCACCACCACTACCACCACCACCACCATGAGCTGTTACCGATTGTGTCGCCGAGCGAGACCTCGTAGCATCCCATCGACATCAACTTCTTCGCAACCTGTGTGTGTGTGTGTGTGTGTGTGTGTGTGTGTGTGTGTGTGAATAAACTGTTCAGTAGCACCTTTGTGCAGACGTCTGTTCCAGCATTGGCGTGAGCATTGACAAGCAACAAGTAACAGCAACGACAATCACTCCACACCTACAATCCCTCCACCTCCCTTCCATCTCTTCCTTAATTGCTCACGTGTGCGACAACAGCTGGCTCCGTGTTGCCATCATACGGACACGCAATCACACATGACACATAGCTGAAGGGGAGGGTCATGGTGGCGGTGGTGGTGGTGATGGGAGGAGTAAGGGAATACAGCGATGTTCGCATTCACGACGCGACGCACACACATGAATACACAGGAACACACATGCATTGCAATTCGCAGCCGCAAGAGCGTGTGTGTGTGTGTGTGTGTGTGTGTGTGTGTGTGTGTGTGTGTGTGTGCATGTGTGTGTGTGTGTGTGTGTGTGTGTGTGTGTGTGTGTGTGTGTGTGTGTGTGTGTGTGTGTGTCGTACACACCCTCTGACGCGAACGCCGTCCTGGTGCGCCTGATCAACAACATCCTGGAACCTGATGATGGTGATGGTGGTGGTGGTGGTGGTGATGGTGGTGTTAATCACTGAGCAGTGGTGTACTTGATGCTGCTGAATCAAGAACAAATCCAGTGCGTGCGTATGTATGTGTATGTGCTGCATGTGTGTATATGTGCATGTGTGTGTGTGTGCGTGTTTTACCTTTCGAGCGATTCATCAATGGAGCAGTTGATGTTTTTCCTGAACGCCAGACGGTGATGACGATGATGATGGCGGTGACGGTGATGACGATGATGATGGCGGCGGCGGTGATGGTGATGGGGGTGGGAACAAATGAGAAGAATTGTGGTGAAAACACACGATTGTTATGGCACCGCCACATTGTATCACATCATCATGCCAACATGCCCTCGCATCATCGCGTCAAGCCACACCACCACCACCACCACCACCACCACCACCACCACCACCACCCTGGGCACGTGCAGATGTGTGTTTGCGCACCTGCTGAATCCCTCCGAAGCGGCACCAAAGATGGCAACCTCATCGGCACCGCACTCAACCTGACATGAACACGATGACGACGATGATGTCAGCGGTGGTGGCGGCGAGAGGGGGAGACGAGGCAGCTGCTGGGACACACACACACACACACACTCACACACACGCACACACACACACACACACGCACGCACACGCACTCGCACACGCACACACACACTCTCACACACACACACGCACACG